ACCCCTGCCACCCCGGCTACCACACCCCTGCCACCCCGGCTACCACACCCCTGCCACCCCGGCTACCACACCCCTGCTATTGCCACCCCTGCCACCGCCACCTCTGCCACCCCGGCTACCACACCCCTGCCACCCAGGCTACCACACCCCTGCCATTGCCACCCCGGCTACCACACCCCTGCCACTGCCTTTCCTGCCCTCCCTTCCACTCCTGCCACCACCACTCTTGCCACTGCCACTGCCACGCCTTTCACCGTCACCCCTGCCACACCCACACCTACCAACGCCACGCCTACCACCGCCACCCCTGTCGCCGCTAATATTATGTATATGCTATCAAGAGCTAATAAATACCGGTAATAAATAAGGTATTTATTAGCTGCTGATGCATGCTATACATAACGTTATGTAAAGTGCAGACAAGCATTGAGACCTGAACGTATTTCGCTGATTCCGTCGGACCGCGATTGCTGTAAATGTTAAAATATTCCGTTTTATCCCAATCCCCGTTGAACGCTGACCTGATTGTTCATACGTAGGACCCTGCTGTATCTCACTATCCAATACTAACAGCGTCAACGTAAAGCTGCTTAACCCCCGCTATATATCGTTCCCGTTATTTTCAGCGAATCTTAGCGTACGTTAAACGCGCACGTCGCCAGTTTTTGTACAAAGCAGAAAGTCTAGTGCTCCTAGAAAGACGAGAAGAGAAACAGGTTCATATTCGCCTAATAATAAGTGTCCGCGGCTGAAGCAAGCTCTGTATATCGCACGTCGTGCGAATCGGTGTCACATCTGTGATCGCTGGGTGCACTGTCACCACGCACTTGCTCGCGACATGTGCGCCATCGCCACGTGTAATTAGCGTGTGGGCAGGAGGCAGGCCAGCCGATCAGCCATCAGTGACAGCACACACGTAGACACAGGCGGGCCCACGCTGACGCGATGTGCTCATCAAATGTTGTGAACACAAACACGGACAAAGTGGCCAGCATTGTACAATATCATTACCGCGCTAATGGCAGGGGCATGGCGCTGGCGGAGGGAGACAGACGTACAGCCCGCTGACGGACGGAGAGACGGGCAGCCCGCTGACGGACAGAAAGACGGGCAGCCCGCTGACGGACGGAGAGACGGGCAGCCCGCTGACGGACGGAGAGACGGGCAGCCCGCTGACGGACGGAAAGACGGGCAGCCTGCTGACTGACGGTATGTGTGACTGCGCAACCGTGCATCATCACGCCGGTCGACGACACCAAGCCCCACACCCTAGGCGGCCGGACCGCCCTCTCGCCACCACGGCCGACCAAGCCCTCCCACCGGGCGCGGTGGTGACACGTTTACGGGGTGGGTGACACCGGACACAAGACAGCGTCGGGGATTAGCGGGCGTGTCAACAACAGCAGGAGTCACACGCAGGCGTGCTCGTATCTCCGCGCACACGATCTCCAGTTGCTTGCTTCCTGCTGCAGTAGTGCGCAGGTTTCCGGCGTCGGGGATGCGGGCATAATGCAGCTAACGGCGTTCAAATAAACATCGTAACGGAGACCGGGAAGTGAGCCGAACGAGCCTGAGTACACTAATCACCACCCGCCACGAGCCAACGAACGGGTTCAAGAGTAGCCTGCTAGTTAGCTACACCATTATGTATAAAATTCTGTACACTACTTAGATATATCTGCGTGAAGATCATAGAGTTATTATCATTATTACTATTATTATTGTTATTATTATTATTATTATTATTATTACAGTATAAATAATAATCATGTTTTCATTTTATTTTATTCCATGTGTAGTGTAAGTGCCACATGATAGTATTAAAAGAATGTTACAAGGCATAGAATATAGTAGGCCTATCTAATAATATTGTTACACGAGGGCTACATGATCGACTAACCATTCCTCGCTGAAGCAGTCAATCCTCATACCCGCTGACCATTCCATTGACCAAACCACTACCAGTGATCAGGATGCACTGAAAGCCGCACAACAGTTGGTCACACAAAGCCAAAGACAACATAAAAGTAATATATAATATATTGCCCCACCGGGGTTTGCCCGCCTACTTGTGAGCACTATAACTAGCCGTAGCCATCGGAGGAACAATCGCTGTAGTCTGTCATTCTCGCGGGCTAGTACATATCACTTGCATTCATCATTTGAATAGAGCCTTTCCTTGCCCGCCTCAGAGACAACCGAAATAGCAGGTCGACAGACGTGCACTAAGGCGCTTCTATGCGAGAATACCATAGAGGACATCGTCTACGCCATCTGTTCTATGATTACGGAGTGTCTTCTGAATGTGGTGGCGGCGTGGCGGTGGTTGGCAGCGTGGGTATAGAGCACGTCGACGTGACGGCGTGACAGCGTGGACGCTCGCAGTCACACGCCGGGTGACGAACGGCGATGTAAACGTCATCAAAATGTCGTCAGCGCCACCTTCAGAGGTGGCTGACGCTGCGAGCGGCTCGCCACCCACCGAAATCATTTGCGCAAGTGAACCGAATGCGTTTCGCGATATGCGTCGTTCATCATCGGCAGCAAAAACTGCCAACGATAATCACAATCCCGTGTGTTAGCTGTTGAAACTGTCGCCGGGGAACTCGGTTGCAATTTCGGCACATGAAAGCGAAACGTTCCATCCTAGTTTCAAACCACTAACGCGATATTTACTGCATGACAACAAACATCTGAATTGTGAAATAATATATATAAATTAAAGGTTTTAATGATATTCAACATAATAATGGTCATGATAGTATACACAGCTAAAAACCTAAATCGTAAAAAGCACTTTTTTGTACATTTATACAATTTTGTAATGTAGTACACAAGACGTGAATATGTTCTCGACTTTTTATCGTGAGCATTTTGCCTCTGTGAAACATGAATCATGGCAGAAATGCCAAAAAATGTGTGCGACGTGGTAATTTTGAAAATCATCACCACGCTGACCACCCGAGTTGGTTTACACAGGCCCGTAGCCAGCTTTATATTGGGGGGGTTCGTTTTTAAATGTTGGCAATTTGTGAGGGCGCGAAGCAACCGAGCGAGGGAGCATAGCGACCAAGCGGGGGGAAGGAGTGGGATAGAGATTTTGCAATTATTACACAAAAATGGAGTGATCTGGTGCATACCTGAGGTGAAATTCTTGCAAATTTTCAAATATAAAATTGTTTGTTTTATTTTCTGCTTGGGGGGGGGGTCGTGCGAACCCCACGAACTCCTCCTGGCTACGGGCCTGATTTACAAACAACATATTAGCGAGAAAACTTAACTATAGCTTCTCACGTTTAAAAACATTACTGCAACTTTATATCATGTGAGTATGAAGTTAGAACAACGTATTACTTCAACTTTTCCTCTATACACCCATATGCTAACAACAGATGCTACACCCTGGTGGCAGCAATTATCGGTCAATTTATAAAAGCGATAATTCATAAGGCTCAGCGCAAAATTCTCGATGCTGCTCTGTCATTCATGCCTTGTTCTCTGGTTGAACAGGAATTGTTATCGTCAAAACCTAAAAGATGGGAAAACGAATAACACCACTTAATTGCTGTCAAGTGAAATAGATTTAATTATAGGACACGCTATAATAGAGGATCAATTTAAGTACATTGTCATAATTAATGACATTCTGAGAGCATGCTGGAAAGTATAATTTAATGAAACAACTTGCTAAAGTTGACTAGCGAAAATAAATTCAAATAGTTTGATAAATCCGATGCAATAATATGGTTTAAGCCCGGCGCACACGTGAGTAATTTTACTCAAGTAAAATGATGCATGCGTCAAAATACTCAAAGAAAATCCGCCGCACACGTGAGTATTTTGACGCATGCATCATTTCACTAAAATTACTCTAGCGTGCGCCGGGCTTTACAGAACATTTGCCACCAACACTATTTCAGTGCTGCCATCTACAGTTAACAGTTAACCTTAATTTACCTGCGTTATTCTGTTGAACTGAGCACCTGTTTCACTGGACGCCATTAGAAAGGGCATGAAAACGTCCAATTTATATCGTTGTGCCAATGCATGGAGCAAAATCCTATCTTCCCCAATGTCTAACTCTACGTCTTTTACGGATTTCTGCGTAAAAAGCAAAGACAATGTTCTTAAGCCTTATCAAGTACATATAGTTAGTTGAATTTCATCAGAGCTGGTTAGATTTGAACAAATCTACTTCACTTGTATAAATTGTTCACTGGTCTCATTGCTTTGTAAATTATTAGTCGACTGGTGACCTTAAAGCCATAGAACAGTCACTCTAAGCATTGTTCCACAAAATATACTAATAAAACACTTTCGAAACCCACATCCCCCAACACCCCAATACATCCCATTGCCTTCCTCTACACAACCACATAAAAAATCGAATTGTTTCAACTCCAACAATATTCTTAAATTATATAAAAACTGTATATATATATTTAAATACTAATTTTCGTTACAATTTTATTCATTATTTTAAAGTCAGCTACCAGCAGCTTCTTTTAGTCAATACCTAGCCTTCTTACCTTATAGGTTTGACTAATAATATACATGTAAACATTTTATAAACAAGAGGATGACAAATACATTAAATCCACCTTACCATGCCAGGCAGTTGTATTTCACCAATGAGAAACTCTGGGTACCCTTCAATTGGATCTTGGATGAACTGATATGATGGCTCTTTCCACTGTGGCTCACTACATAAAAGCATTATGATGTAGCCAGTCTTACACAAAATAAGCACACTGTCAAACATTCACACCATCTACGATTAGCATAACAGTTGACTATGCAGATATAATAGCAATTCTATTGAAAGGATCTCATATTTCATACTACTGTGATACGTACATGGTTTGATTAGGTGCTTGTGGTGCCTTTAAATCTTGCTTGGTAGTGGGATTTTTTAACCTAAGAGAAAATGTACAGGTTGTTTGTTTATTGTTGATACATATAAAGACACAAACTGACTCTTAATAGCAAACTGCAATAATAACAGGTTGGTTTCATGTTGAAAATAAAGTCGAGAAACTTATTGAGCTGCTATTTCCCAATAAGCATGGCACTTGGTTCTTAACAGAAAATATGCTCCGTTCCTCTACTTCACATAAAATACTTTTAAATAAATTTGTCTTATATTTGATTTATATGCATAATTATTGTGCGTAGAACTGGTGTTTGGTACCTGGGTATTTCACTAATGGTTGGCTTAGCTTTCGTTCGTGTTACTTGATCTGGCATTACTCCAAAAAACATCTTGTTCTTCAATCGAGTAACCTCTGAAAACAATGTTGTTTCAACATGAATAAGGATATGAGATTGATACAGTACATTATTAAATATCATCACACATTACATTGTATATTAAATGTTATATTCCTTGGTATAGATTAGCTTCGATGTTATACAAAAACTGAACAGAGATAGCCAGATGCACTTACCTCTAGAGAGAGAGAGGCTGTATTTCTCCTCCAGACCTTCCAAAGCTAGACTAATCATGAAGTTGTAGAAAAGCTGATTGGTTTCAACTTTGTCATAGAAAGTGTTGCTTATGATAACATCATAAGCAGTGCAATGATTTCCAGCTGCCAGAAACACAAAACTGTATTTAAACTATTAATTTAAAAGGTTAATAAAATGACCTACGTTTTAGTGTAAGGTATAGCATTGTTACCTATACAGTATGCTAGCTAATAAATGTTATATAAAATAGTGTGAATAACACCAATTAATGTATAACTACGCAATTATTAAAATAAACCATTTATTACTACTTAAAGGGGAATGAAACTATGGGCTTAATGCACATTTTTAACCAGCTGGGGTTTAAATTATACTACAAGCGAAAATTGTGGCTTAAAATTCAATAGAAATATTTACAAAAAATGCTTTGAAAATTATCTATGAACGTTATCTCATAACTACAGTGGGGAAGGACAGCAATATTTCACATTTCACTATTAATTTCAGTTAGTTTATGCGTGTATTTATATGCATTTATCTAAATAACAAGTTGCTTTTTATTACTAATAATTAAACAATACCATTACAATTTTGTGATTAGCTCCTGGTTAGAAACATGCAAAATAAAATTTCAGAAGTACAACTTCGTCAGAAGGGCAACACAGACAGCCAGTGTCATAGCAGCAACCATGGTTGCTGATTTTCAATGTTAATAACTAAAATAACGACTGATAACAGAAATATGTAAGCATAAACTGTTGTATATAATAACTAGCATATAGTGTAAACTCAAATTCGAGACTAATGTTCCTCTAAAAGTACATATTCAACAGAATTTTCCTTGATTTCTATAAATGGTAGAGTGATAAGATGCACAGAAAAGTCCATGCTACAATTCATACAATTATCACTTTCTGTGTGAGGCTCTCCAAGACTCATAGGAACATTATAACTTGAAGGATCTTCATCATTGACAATTGCCAGCAATTCTTCATCTGTTAAGTCAATTGGAGGAGGAATCTGAAGTGCAAGTTCGTACCATTGTTGATCATTGTATGTCAGTTATTTGCATTTCTCGACATCATCCAACTGTATACACGTTTTGTACAAATGTGCAAATCCTCACATTGACCCTTAAACATTACTCAATTGATCAATAAAGACCACTTTTCCACCTCATAACCTAATCTAACTTAAAGACAAAAAAAGTCAAACCAACAGACAGTTTGTGTGAATCTCTTTTAAATACAATTTTATGCTATATAATGGGTTTACAGAATAAATGAGCAAAAGCTTGCGTGGAAATGTCTAGATATATACTTATTGTAAACTCATCTATGTTCAAGAAATATATATGTATAAATAGCAATAAATTATCTTTCATCACGGTTTAATAACACACATCTATATTATCTACATTTTATCAAGAGCTAATAATACCTAGAGTGTACAACGGAAAAACGGGAAAATAGTGCTATTTCACGACAACATTATTCTACTTTGCCTGCTAGTCTAGAATAATTTTATGGTATTGCATTAAGCAGAATTCTTTGCTCTCTAAAACAAGACCAACCGCTTGTCAATACGATACTCCTAGGCTGAGATATTGGCTCCTAAACCTCCCCTCCCACATGCCTCACGCCGCCTCGCATCCCGGTTATTCAGCCACCTACACGCGTCTAAGCATTTTAGCTATCGGTTTCCGTCACTGCTTGGAGCGCTGATAATTGATGTCACATGCCCAAATTTGGTACTCTTACTACACCATATAGTAACTGAGCTGCGTTGTAAAGACTTAATTTAGAAAACATTGCCGGTCCATCATGACGGGCATTAGCCGTGCTAGGAAAGATAATGGGAGATAAGGGCATAGGCGATGCCCCCGAAAGTCACCTATAATAACCGAAACGCCGTTCATTCATAAAGTTATCGCGGAAAAACCGAACTTTCACAAAGCAATGCTTAGGGGTGTGGAGGTGGCTGAATAACCGGGATGCGAGGCGGCGTGAGGCATGTGGGAGGGGAGGTTTAGGAGCCAATATCTCAGCCTCGGAGTCGGAGTATCGTATTGTCAAACGGTTGGTCTTTTTTTAGAAAGCAAAGAATTCTGCTTAATGCAATACCATAAAATTATTCTAGACTCGCAGGCAAAGTAGAATAATGTTGTCGTGAAATAGCACTATTTTCCCGTTTTTCCGTTGTACACTCTAGGTATTATTAGCTCTTGATTTTATTCATATTACCTGTACTTGGAATGTTTCCATGCTTCATTGAGAAAATTTCAAGACATTTTAATACTGCAACCATGCATGCCCACAAGTCTATCTAATTGAGAAATTGAGACTCAAACAATAAAGATGCTATTTAATTATATTTATGTGTTTATTTGGATACTTACATGTGTTGACTGACATAGGTTAATGAATACTTTCTCCCCATTGCTATTTTTCGTTTTAATGCAAAATCCAGGCTCTGGACTTATTAAAGCAAACTGTCGTTCTGCAATTCCACTGTCAGTTCCAGGTTTGGCTGCCTATAACAGACAAATGTAAAAAAATATTTTTTTAAATACACCCTCAATAATTTGTCTGAAATATGTAAAATAATATCCCAAATTTCAGAAAAATTACGTTAGTAGCTGCCTATTGTTTCAAGTTAGGCAAGTTATGGAATTGATTTGCTGGCAACAGAATGGAGAATCGTGTCGTACGTTTTAGTCTGTATCTCCGGATTGCGGTTGTATATGAGGAAACGATTTCGCACGATGCTATCATGCTAGGCAAATGTACTGTGTACGATTTGAGCTCAAGTTGGTTGAGTTACGCGTAGTAAATCGTAGGTATTCTAAGGCTAGTAAATGACGAATTTCCCTTGTTTATTGAAGTCACACTCCTTCCCTATTATCCACTTCTGGTATATATGTGTCAATGTAAATTAATACATGACACCTTTAAAGCCACAATATGCGCATCTACACGCTAATTTCTCCAGTACTAGACTAGCAAATACTTCGTGACATGCATAATCACACTACCTTATGACAAAATAAACTCTAGTTCCTCCCATCTTCGCTACACCCGCTGTATGGTTGCTTGGCAGAGCAACGCGAACGTGTCAACAACATCGGAGAATTTGAACAACATTGGAGGTCTTTTCAAATACCTTTTATAAGACAACGTGCAGTGAAATGGGAGGAGCTAGAGTTTATTTTGTCATAAGGTAGTATGATTATGCATGACACAAAGTATTTGCTAGTCTAGTACTGGAGAAATTAGCGTGTAGATGCGCATATTGTGGCTTTAAATTTAGGATTTACCAATATAATATGGCACAACAATTTTAGGTCCAATTTCACATTATATATATAATTTTATTTCTTTTTAAGCTTTAAGTTTAACGCATGTTGGGTCCAACATGCCTTCAAAGCTAAAGCTAATTTGTGAAACCATATAGAATCCTCTGAGATTACCTTATGGACATGCCTTAAAGTTAGGATTTCTCATGTTTTTTCTATCATTTTTACATATTTTCTCCGTGGTTCTGATACTAACAGGCACTTCTTGCATAACCGTAATTGTATATAGTAAGGCTAACATCCCATGAAACTTTCGTGAACACTCTCACATCATTCTTTTCACACTTGTTTACATATATGTCATCAAAACTAGCTTGTTACTTTTACTTTCGCCAGATGCCATCGACTAGTACCTTGTCTCTATATGTTACCTTTGCATAATTTTCGAGATATTGTATACGCTGTCCCCGACCACGAAAATAACAATAATACCATATAATTCATAATTCACTGACCGCGAAATACCACTTGCAAAATTGTCCGTCAAGCCTGAATTCGCGAAAATATCTGTACGCGAAAAATATCAGCACTTACTTCGTACTTACTTCTGAACCATATCTATATAACATATACCTATATATATTAGGGCTGTAATGATACACAAGCCTCTCGATTCGATCCGGTTCTCGATATTAGCCTCTCGATTCGATTCCTTCGATTCGATTCCCAAAATATTGAAATGTTATCTTATTTTTTATATTTTTATTATTTTGCAATAATAAATTATTAGAAATTACCAATGAATACTAAATGGTGAATAGACTAGAGTCTAGAGATTATATATAGTTATATACACTGTACAGTCGCTGAGTAATATTGGTGAGTAACACCAGAGCATATAAATCACCATTACTCACCAGTGATTTATATGCTCTGGTAACACTCCACAGTATATAGCGTAGTGCCGCCATGTAATTGGAGGAAAAAAGTGGTATCGAAGTGGAATCGAAAATACGGGGAAAAATATCGAGGATCGAATCGAGAGAATAGAATCTCGATCCAATTCGATTTCGGTGGATCGTTAGGCCGGTTCAAGGATAGAGAACATGTATCCCAATAAAACCAATGTCATTTACATCAATATAAATATTATATTATATCAATATAATAGGTTAGGGTTATGGTTAGGGTTAGGATTAGGGTTAGGGTTGTAGAATAATGTTGTCGTGAAATAGCACTATTTTCCCGTTTTTCCGTTGTACACTCTAGGTATTATTAGCTCTTGATTTTATTCATATTACCTGTACTTGGAATGTTTCCATGCTTCATTGAGAAATTTTCAAGACATTTTAATACTGCAACCATGCATGCCCACAAGTCTATCTAATTGAGAAATTGAGACTCAAACAATAAAGATGCTATTTAATTATATTTATGTGTTTATTTGGATACTTACATGTGTTGACTGACATATGTTAATGAATACTTTCTCCCCATTGCTCTTTTTCGTTTTAATGCAAAATCCAGGCTCTGGACTTATTAAAGCAAACTGTCGTTCTGCAATTCCACTGTCAGTTCCAGGTTTGGCTGCCTATAACAGACAAATGTAAAAAAATATTATTAAAAATACACCCTCAATAATTTGTCTGAAATATGTCAAATAATATCCCAAATCTCAGAAAAATTACTTAAATAACTTTAATATTTTTCTGCCAAAAATTTCATCACATTTGTTTTTGTTGCATTAAAAACATGCACATGCTCAGTTTAGATGACAGGGTTAGACCGTATTACCTACTGTAAGATACTTAGTATTGCATGTATTGTCATAATAACAAAGCCTTTTTCTATTATTTCAATATCCTATACCACTACAATTGACTGTACGCACAGATAGAACAGTTAGCAATCCTGATCTGATCACCACTGGTAATGTTTCAAGTCAAAATACCACCAATTGATTTCTAATATACTATATTATTTTGACATAAATATTGTTTATAATTTTATCTCTCATCCTAGGAAGGCCAGTAGCTAACTTTCATTATTATTTTAGCCTATAAGTTATATAGCGAATTTCTAATTAAATGTAATATGTATGTATGTATGTACCAGTGAAATAGTTTAAACGGGGGCGGCGGGCGAATTCGCCCCTGAAATTCCCAAAAGAGCTCCCGAAAATGTGATCACAGGGGCGACAGTTAAAAAGAAAACGGTTCGAAATTGCCCCCGTAATCGCATGCCTCGAAGTCAATGCATTGCCACTGGTTACACTAGCCAGCCGCAGCTACAAGCTGCTGCAAACCCGCAATGCCGGAGCTAGTGTCTCGGCTCCAGCGCAGTTGCAATATAGCGATTTCCAATTCCAGGAAAGAGTTTTGGTGTCGCTCTCTCATACCAGCGGTACCTTGGTACTCTGGTACTTTGTCTCTATATGTTACCTTTGCATAATTTTCGAGATACTGTACAGTAATACGCTGTATATTTCGCGGTGGTTTAATTTTCGCGAACGCGTCCCCGACCACGAAAATAACAACACGCAAAAATAACAATAATACCGAATAATTTATAATTCACTGACTGCGAAATACCACTCGCAAAATTGTCCGTCAAGCCTGAATTCTGTACGCGAAAAATATCAGCACTTACTTCGTACTTACTTCTGAACCATATCTATATAACATATACCTATATATATTAGAGCTGTAACGATACACAAGCCTCTCGATTCGATCCGGTTTTCGATATTAGCCTCTCGATTCGATTCCCAAAATATTGAAATGTTATCTTATTTTTTATATTTTTATTATTTTGAATGAATTGAAGAAATTGCCAATGAATACTAAATGGTGAATAGACTATAGAGTCTAGAGAGTATATATAGTTATATACACTGCACAGTCGCTGAGTAATATTGGTAAGTAACACCAGAGCATATAAATCACCATTACTCACCAGTGATTTATATGCTTTGGTAACACTCCACAGTATATATAGCGTAGTGCCGCTGCCATGGTCTGAGATTACCCCCAGTCTGAAATTACCCTAGCGCTACTGCGCATGCGCCACGCATGCGCACGAGGTGCTGGGTGTAAAGCGCAGAAGCAAAAATTAGCATTGGTTAACTGAGACTGCCACCGTCACAGCAGTCAGCGTCTTAACGCCATTTGTTTTAGCAAAGTTGTTGTATTAGCCATTTGTCAAAAATACGGACAGAAGCAGTTTATTATTGCTCTTTCCAACACGGAAGTGACTATACGCACGGCGGCCGTGTGGGCCAGATTCAATATGGCTATACGCACGGCGGCCGTATGATACGCACGGCGGCCGTGTGGGCCAGATTCAATATGGCTATACGCACGGCGGCCGTATGACCGACGCAATATGGCTAGGAATGAGGAAGGGGAGAAGGGAGAAGCTGGTGGAGAAGGAGGAAGGGGACCAGCTTCTCCCCCTCCTCCTCCTCCAACACCTTCTTCCTTCTCCCCTCCTCCTTCTCCACCAGCTTCTCCCCTCCTCCTTCACCACCTTCCTTCTGGAGAAGGAGGACGGGAGAAGAGAGGTGGTGGAGAAGGAGGGGAGAAGCTGGTGGAGAAGGAGGAGGGGGAGAAGGGAGAAGGTGGTGAAGGAGGGGGAGAAGCTGGTGGCGAAGGAGGAGGGGAGAAGCTGGTGGAGAAGGAGGAAAGGGATTCTCCCCCTCCTCCACCACTTTCTCCCTTCTCCCCCTCCACCTTCTCCACCAGCTTCTCCCCTCCTCCTTCTTCACCACCTTCTCCCTTCTCCCCTCCTCCTTCTCCACCAGCTTCTCCCTTCTCCCCCTCCTCCTCCACCAGCTTCCTTTTCCCCTCCTCCTCCACCAGCTCCCTTCTCCCCCTCCTTCTCTCCTTCCTCCTTCTCCACCAGAGGAGGGGGAGAAGGGCTTCTTCCTTCTCTACCAGCTTTTTCCCCCTCCTCCTCCACCAGCTTCTCCCCTTCCTCCTTCTCCACTAGCTTCTCCCCCTCCTCCACCAGCTTCTCTTTTCTCCCCTAATTCCTCCTCCACCACCTTCTCCCCTTCCTCCATTCTCCACCAGCTTCTCCCCCTCTTCTTTCTCCACCAGCTTCTAAAGAAGGTGGTGGAGAAGGAGGAGGGGAGAAGCTGGTGGAGAAGGAGGGGGAGAAGCTGGTAGAGAAGGAGGAAGGGGTGGAGGAGGAGGGAGAGAAGGGAGAAGGTTGTGGAGGAGGGGGAGAAGCTGGTGGAGAAGGAGGAAGGGGAGAAGAGAGAAGGTGGTGGAGAAGGAGGATGGGAGAAGCTGGTGGAGGAGGAGGGGGAGAAGCTGGTGGAGAAGGAGGAAGGGGAGAAGGAGGGGGAGAAGGA